CTGCTGATATTATATGCTGTATCAAAACAAATACGTAACTGCAAGATGTTCTTGTGAAAAGAGCTGTAGGCATATCTGCCAACTCTCAAATAGCCAGGATGAGAGTCAGTCAACGGGGCTTTTTTATTACCCCTTTCTTTCTTTTTCCAGGTTCAAGTTCTTCTGTACTTCCTGCAGCTAGAGACTATCCCTACCCCAGACAGCAAGAGGCAAAGCATTCTCTTTTCCACAGAGGTGTAGGTACCCATGATACCAGCAGGATGTAAAAAACTGCTGTTGGCATAAATTGCCACACCTGGGAAATAGACGACTGGCGTTTCTTCAGACAGTACTGTCCTGTTCCTGTCTTGGGGAACGATGGCCCTCAGTGCTCCTGCTATTTGTTAACCAGAGACAAGCTGAAGAGAAAGGAGAAAAATCTCTGCTTTTGATTAGTAGGACCGGAACTGAACTGGAGATGGAGCTGTGCAGAATCTCCACTAGAAGGAGCAACAGACGCTTGAACAAATGCACCACAGAGTGTGGCGATTATTCTTGGTGGGAATGTGACAGAAGGTATCCCTCATTCTATGGATTTAATTTATCATAAAGAAACTTCAAGATTTCTGCTGGACCACTTGATAGGATACCCCTTTTTGGGTGAGGGGGAGTTGAAGGATATATCACAACTGTGTCTTTAATAACTGCTGTTTTTAAAGTACTGTTCTAAGCCACAAAAATAGCATTGCTTTGCAAGAGGAGAGGAGAAGGCAAGGGTCTGGAATAACAGATTCCCTCCTCAGAAATTCAAGTCTTGATTTGAACAAGGTTCTAAAGAAATGAAAGAGTTTTGCATACAACTAGAACTGTTGGTTTGTTTGGGTTTTTTCTTTTTTTTTCTTTTTTTTCTTTTTTTTGTCTCACCCACCTCTTCCCTTGCAAGTGTTTATACAGCTGTAGGGAAGGAGATGCCCTGCTCTTGCCTATATTGCACTTCTGGTGGTTTTTTTGGGGTTAAGGGAGCCAGACTCAATGATGTTACGCTATAAATAAATATAGCAAAATAAAGAGAGGAAGGGAGGATTAGAGTCAGTGATTCTGTTTGTGATTCTGTTGTTCATTTGCATGTAAAAGCAGGGGCAATATTATCCAGGCAGGATTGCTAAATTCCTTAGACCCCACCTAACTTAATGAAAACAAATTGGCAAGGCTGTTAATTCCCAACACTCCAAAGAAAATATGTTATCACTGCAAAAATAATTGAAGCATTTGTGAACACAAAAGAAAAAAAAAAAATCAATGGCTATCAGTTTGGCTGGCTGCTTACTCCAAACTTTTATCAGAATGTCTTTTTTTTGATACTTGAATTTTTGGAGGCTTTGTACATTGCTTCTACAAGAGTCTTTTTCTGATAGATTCAAATGCTTTGATCAAATGTGTCAGAATGTACTTTAAGGACAATCTAGCAAGTAGCACGCATTGTGTATTCTCCAGAAATTCCAACCCTGTTTTAAATAAGAGCAGTGAAGAAATGTCTATGGAACTACCTGCAGCGTTACAGAAGGTCTAGCCAAATGCCACCGTTGTGTTTCCCTGCCTAAACTGGTTGAAGCCACAGGGGTGACACAGGCGTGAAGGGCAGCAGTAGTCGTCTGGGGAATTGAAAGCACAATCTCCTTGCTGGGATCCAGAGCAAAGCATCCTGGCTACGAAGCAGTTGTGCCAAACATCTTGGTGGGGTGGGAGTGCTTCCATTTTCATAAACTACTCCAGCCCCCTTTACTTCCTACCCAGTTAAGCAGCATCCATTTAGTGGCATCCATCCATCATCATCCTGGCGAGAAGAGAAGTACAGCTTGAAGACAAGGGAAGGAATCAGCATGAGAAGGGGAGGGAGGGACAGATTTTGAAAGATTGGTAGAGTTAAGTTGTCAACATCATTTGAGGGGAAATACAACAAAGAAAGCAACCCCTGTTATGCTGGATTTCACATTTTCTGATGGGTGATCTGCTACCTGTCAATTAAAAAAAAAAAAAACCACAAAAAAAAACCAAACAAAAAAAACACAAACCAAAAACAAAGGAGTCTTTCAAACAAATGGAGAGAAAAAAATTAAAGGGAAATGATTTTGTAGTCACTGTTAGTTCTGACTGCTGCATAATAATAGAAATTATTGTACTGTGAAGTTGCAAATTCAAAAAGGAACAAATATAAATTTCAATTTTGTGAGTATATCAATATTTTGCATGCTTTGTAAGGATTCTTATAGGAATTTAATATTGCTTAGTATCCCTCCCTCCTTAGGTCTGGGAGCAAACCTCTTTGTAATGTAATGTACAACTAGAAATTCCTTCTCTCTTGTATGTATTTCCACTACATTCCAACTTCTGAACCCGTAAAACAGAGAAAGTGTTTATAGTAGGAGGTGTTTTTTGGGGGGAGGGAGGGAATGAAGGCAAGGAAACTTGAAGGCTTAAGATTTTGATTTTTTTTTAAATGTTTTTATTTTTTGCCTTTTTGAAGGTAAAAATTAGTCACAATCCTGAAAAACATTGACTTAAGAAAAGTCATGCAGACCGGTAAACCACACTCTATGGTTTTGTTTTTATGTATTTGTTCTCATTTTTACATAGCAATCCTTTACATAGCAATCCTTGTACTGCAAGCTGCACGCCTACCCACTCCAAGCTGTTGTTTGATGTATCGGAGGCAGTAGCACTGCTGCTGACTTCATTTCAAAGGGGAAAAAACCCAGCCAAAGGACACCAGGTGCTTGGGTGATAGCCTTTTCCTTTTGGGGTTTGGAATCCGTGGCTGCTCTTTGCAGTGTTGAAACTGGAAAGCAATATCGTAATGACTGTGCCAATTTACTTTTGCCCAACTTTTTTATTTTTATTTATATAGGAAGTTAATTTTAATATTAAATTACTGATCTATAGGATGTAACCATGAGAAAATTGCTTTTGCTTTGGTTACTGTTACAGGTTGTTGCTTTTAGTCTCTCATTACAATGCTCAGTTCTAACGTAACGTTATCTAACATGCAGGCATGTGGATCAGGGAAAAAAAAAGTTATTTTAACTTAACCCGTTAAATATTTCTGTTAAGTATGAATATGTTTTCCCCAAAGCTGGTAATTTTGGGCTGGAAAAGATAGCACAACTTATTGCTGATGATGAAATCATGGACTGATTTGAAATACAAGAATTGATTTCTTGAATTTCCTTTAATTTTGCAATTAAGTTTTTTCAAATAGTCTTATGTTTTCAGAAACTAAGTATTTCCAAAAGGCTTTTATGTTCTTTCCCAGGGATGTTGGTTGGGTTGTTTTGTTGTTTTGTGGTTTGTTTTTTTTTTACTATGTTATTTTTTTAATAAGCCTTATCACACTGATACAAAAAGGGAATTACAAAACTTGGCTTTAGAGAAGGCCTTCTGATTTCTACTCATATATTCCCTTGCGAGTTGTGTCAGAAAACCTAACTCTTCCGTTTTCTCTATCAAAAAGGTACAATATAAACAAAATAAAGAGCAAACTAGCAAAACATTACCCTTTACATATGCACTGGGAATTTATGGTCTTTCAGTTTCTAGTGTTATGGAGAGATCTTTCTAAAATTGTAGCTTTCAGTAACAGGAATCTGAAACGTTAAAACTTTCAAGTAAAGAAATTCAGGCGATTAGGATAGTCTGTGTATCTCCAGTTTAAGGAGAGGAATAAGCACGAGTTTCCTGGCATTTAGAAACTATTTTAAAATTCTTACGGATTTTTTGAACACTGAACAGGTTTTTAAGTAAAACTAAAAAAAGTTATGTAAAGCAAACTCTGGGAAAAGTTTTCAAAGATGGACAAGAAATAACAGTTACTAGATCCATTTCAGCTTTGCGTTTGTGTATGCTTTGTATGGGAGGGGAGTGTCTGAAACCAAATTGGAACACATCCATTAAAATGCTGCTGGTGTTCTTTATTCTTGCACAATTTTAACAAGTTGAGGTAGTAGCTAAGCTATTTCAGGCTGTATTTTAATGCTGCTATTTTTCAATGTATCAGCTAAGGGCAAAATACAGCAGTGTGTTGACTATATTTGCTGATGGCCACTGCCTGCCTCGAGTCTGACCTTCAGTTGCCAATGCAAGGCAAGCGGCGCACACAGTATGAAGCAAAACCGCAACTTTTTTTGTTGGCCACAGGGTGGTGGAACCACAGAGTATGTTTATGGGAGATGCAGTATTTTTACAGTTTGTTCATTTTACCTGTTTAAAAATCTGTTTTACGGTTGTTTGTGGTAGTTTTCTATGAGTTTATTTAAGCAAATGTACTGTTCTTTAAAGCATACCTGGATCTCCAAATTTGTTTGTCACCCTTGTAACACTGGAAGGCATCACAATGTGTTCATTTATCTTAACGTGCCATTCTTTCAAGTATGTATAAAATGTAAATTGACCAACGTGGCTTTTAAAAATGTTTTAAATCTGATGGCAAAAAACCAAACTTCTCTGATTCCTTGCTGGTTAATCCTTTTGTTTCAGTGCTTGGTCATACTGGCATAACATTATCAGATGTGACATTCTTCTTATGGGAATTTTAGTAAGAAATGGGAAATGTTTTAAGAAAAAAACCCAACCTTTCTCTTTTTACTGTAATTCAAGAAGATGAGGACTTGTAATAACAGAAGACCTATACATTCATGCTAGATTTAAGGGATTTGCTTCTCTTCTTGAAGAAGAAAAATCTGAAAGGGCAATTCCTAAGGAGATAGATCAAATTAATCAAATTTTTGGTGTGGTTTGTAAGTCACTTGTTTATGGCCTCTTAAATTTGTAGTCTAGATATGTTATTCTTTGTAAACTTCGCTAACATTGTCATAGTACTGTTATCAGAAAAATAAATCTGGTACCATTCACTTCCTTTAACATAAGGTATGTGCAGCTGAGGTACCGGAGCCTTAGGTTAGTGTTAGCAGTTCTCCATTCTGAACTCGAATGAAATGCATGTTCATATGTATTCTCTGAATTTCCTCATTGAATAGAATTAAATACATGGATTGCCCTTAAAATCAACCGAAACTCTAAAGGAAGCACTTACAGTTAATGGTTATCCCCTAACAAGGGTTTAGGGAATAAAAGTAACACAAATGGGAGAGAGAAGCATAATTAGGAATCACTCTGATCACATTGTCTGGAAGTAGAAAGAAGTTCTCATTTCAAGTTACAGAAGAAGGCTCATGCCCTAGCTAACTGTGAGCAAAGACTGTCTTGCC